TCAATTCAGTGATATATCATTGATTAAGTTTGAGCAGATATGCAAGTTATGGTAGGAGTAATATATAATACATGAGTAAATTTGAAAAAACAAATAACTTTGTTTTTGTTAATCCTCACCTGAAGATATATTTTTCCATTGATTTTTAAAGAGTGGAAGGAAGGGAAGAGAGAGAGAGAGAGAGAGAGAGAAAGAAACATGAATGTGAGAGAGACACATTGATCAGTTGCCTCGGTTTTGGGCCCCAACCAGGTTGGGGATCGAATCTGCAACCCAGGTACATGCACTTGACTAGGAATCAAATCTGAGACCCTTGGGTGCACGAGCTGATACTCAAACCATTAAGCCACATAGGACAGGATCAATTAACTTTTTTGTTTTATTTAAGGTTTTCTTGATGAACAAGAAGGGATTACACTGAGGAGAAGAAAACAAAGGCTATCAAATGAGGAAAAGTTTAAATACCACCCTCCATGAAAATACATTCCTGAAAAAAATTGATATGTATTGTAATTTACAGAAACGTCCTTAGGGTTTGAGGAGAAAGCTGGGACCTGGAGACCCTAGGCCTGAAGAAATCAGGGCTCGGGAAACTAACAAGTTGCTAGTGTTGGATCCAAAAAGGGTAGATAACAGTCCAATGCCAATGTCCAAAAGGGTGTGGGTACCTTGGGCTTGACTTTGTCCTTGAGCGTCAGTAGTGAAGCAGTTCTATAATATAACTCATAGCATCAAACAACAGAATTAATCATGGCAATTTGGATGAGTGACAGCAGTTCAAAGTGTTCAGTCTTTTGGGAGTAAGACCCAAGTCTGGGCAGTGTCAGGACTCTGGCCAAATGACTTGGTGTTCAAGACTGGCCTCAACGCCCAGTGGGAACTGGAGAGAAGACCACAGCTGAACCCAGGCAGACAGAATGAAGCAACACCAAGCAGTCGGGGGTAAGATGGCTGCTTTGTGTGCTCCCCAAAGTCAAGGATGATATTACATGTGGTCAGGACCTGCCATCTCACCCCATGACTGAAAATGTCTAAGGAAGACTAGAAATTGACGCAAATCTCAGATTTATCTTTTCCTGGTTTTTATGGTAATATCTTAGGATTTAAGTTAAATGATACTGAAATATAAATAAAATTTTATAATCATCCTCCAACAAATACACAAGTGACAAAGTATAAAACCCTTCAATTGATTTTAGCAATAAAATTTATTTGTGCAACAAGTATTAGATATTATTTTCACTAAAATATTTTTAATTTCAAATATTTTATTTTCCAAATACAAATGGAAAGTATTCAATTTGTCATCAAACTATTCAGAATAAAATGCGGTAGGAGCTGGTGCCATTTTGGGGCTCAGCCCATCTGGTTTTCCAGATGACCTAATAAATTTATAATCCCTTAAATATGCTGTAGAAAGTAAAAGCCCCCTTTCAGTTGAATTTTAAATAGGAGATTTTCTATTTCAGTTCTCTAAGAACAGAATCTAAAGTTGAACTCATTTTAACGGCAAATGAAAATTTTGATTTCAAAATAAAGCAAATAATTGTAGTACTGGTATATTACTTCATTTACCTCTATATTTTAAAGTTATTCATAATATGAGATCGAGATACAGCATAAGGAGAATTCTGTGTCAACACAATCTACCAAAATACAGTAAATATTCTTTGACAGCGTCTGAAGACCACACACGTGTCCAGAATGGTCCTATCGCTGTATTTCGGCACCACCCCCTGGGGCCAGATCAGCAATGAGCAAAATGCTGACGTTGCCACAATGCTCTGTGGAACTATTAAGTGTCTGCTGTATCCAACCAAGCCACGGGACAAAAGAATGAAACAATGAACAGGTTATATTATTTTCTTCTCAGGTGGCATTTGTTTTAAACTTCATGTGCAATTTAGTCGAATAAACAGGTTGTAGAGGAAAGGAATGGGAAGTTTCAGAAAGAAAGATTTTTCCTTCACCCAAGTAGCGTATGATATATATACCTATAATAATAACAATTCTATATCCTATAATAATAACTTTAAAAAAAATACTAACCTAAAGGGTGACTATAGTCACAATTGCGAAACTATTGCAAAAAAAAAAATATTTCACCTAACAACTCTGGAATGAAAAGAATCATGTTCTAGAGTTTTAATTAAAGTCTGGTATCAAGTACAAATTGCTTGGTGTTGCATGCACTTTAAGAATGGGAACATAACTGACCTTGTCCCATGTCCCATTTCCCACAAAGAAGGGTCCTACTGCTTTCTGCGGATCTGAGCACACAACATATGTTCCGCCAGCACAGACCAGGTTACCCCACGGACGCTCAGAAATCTTCCAGGGAAGCATTCACTGGGTGCAACCTCAATTAACGAATTACCCTGGCTGGGGGGTAGGGTAGGGGGACCTGGAAATCCAATTTAACCTTGTTCTGTGAAACCTTAATGTTTGAAATGCTTTACAGATATCAAAAAATAAACTTTGCACAAAACACTGTCCAAATACAAATTTTAAGTTGTGAAATCGTTCATAAATAGAAATCAGACAGCAATGTTCATATCGCATTTTTCAGACTGGCTAAACACTCGGTTTATCACTGTGTACTCCAGAGTGAGACATGTGTGCTGTTCCCACCGAATGACACAGATTTCAAAAAATAAGTATGATTAATTGGATAAGTTAAATGACTGAGTTAAAAGTTCCTGCAGCAAGCTCTCCGTTTGGTCATTTACACGTGGTAGTATTATTAAATCTTTAAAGATCATTTTTAAGGTGTCCAACTACCTCAATATAATAAAAATATTTAAAAGAGAGAAACAGAAAAATTATAACCAGAGTGTCTATAGTTAACCTATGGTGAAGAATAGGCCACATGGTAAGGTGATATAAGGGAGCCCTTATAATAACAAAATTATTATTAACAACAAAAGTACATATGCTAGTAATAACGGTGAACTAGAAAACTACATTACGCTGTAAAATCAAGTTAATTAATAGAAAGATGGAATACCAGGTTACGTCATCTCTCCCCTCCCCCAGTCCAATTTTCACTTATTGTTACACATTAACTTCCGAGTCTATCCAGCTAACAAAACGTACTATTATGCGTTAGCAACAGCAAGATAACCGTAATAGCATTTTGAAGGAAAAACTGTTATCCTACGAGAAAATCCTATTGAAATGACATCTTCTGAGAGATCCTGTCTACCTTGTCTCTCCTTTATTATGTATGTTCCGTGAGAACAGGCAGTATTCCTGTTCCCTGTGGCAGCGATTTTGGAAACTCCATTTTGATCTGTAAATTAAGGAGTTTCTAAACTGGAATTCTAGAACTGACTTACAGCCCTGGGCTGCTGTGGGAATGGGGGCAGCTCCCCCTGCTGCTGTCATCTCGGGCTCCGGGACCCATCACTCTGTCCAGTTGCTAACTCTGCTGGGCAGCCCTGTCCACATTCATCTCAGAGCCTTGACGCACAGAGCCGGCCCTTCAGCTTGATTTCTGGCAGCTGGCAGAGCCTTCTGGAACAGGATATGGGCTTGCCCACAGGCTTACTAAGTCAAAGCGTGGACTAGAGCCCCTCACCCAGTATGGCTGGTCTTTCTGCCCCGTCAGCAGGCAGCACCACCTACTCAGGCAGGGTTCTCTCTTGTTTGTGTCTTTGTTTTTTGTTCTTTTGTGAATCAAAAATAAAAGCTTCCCAAGACCTGGATTCTAAAAATCTTACTTCTAGAACCCAAACATGGGCTAGTCATGTGCCAAATTTCCCCCCAAAATGTCATTCTCCTCCTTGAGAAATTGCATTAGTTTCCAGTTGACTAGACTTCCTACAAAGTGAAAATATTTTTAGAAGACAATGCTTTTTCTCAACCCCTGGCCTCTCTCTACCTGTTGTCTCACTCCTCCGCTGGCTACGAGCAGTGAGCCATCTGCCTGGGAGTTGGCATGAGATGCCCAGATCTTTCTGTGCCCAGTGGAGCAAGGACCACACAGACGCAGGGTTCTGCTCAGCCCCTACGTGCCTTGCGTGTTAGGGAGGCAGCTCTGCCCGCTGTGGGAGCAGGAGGAAGGACATGGGAACATGTGGAGAAAAAAACTGAGTATGGGAATCAAATATGCAGGCGGAGAGACTCTTCATGAAGTGCTGTGCGTTGCCCAGGTGACTCACCAAGTGACTTCTAAGTTTCCTGAGAGCCAGTGTGGGAAAGGAGCTTTGACCAGTTACACAATTCACGGTGCTCACAGGAAGGATCAATTGCTCAGAGAAAGACAACCGGTCCCATAACTAGGGGCAGAAGAAAGTTCCCCAAAAGACCACATAAAGGGAGGCATTGTGTAATGCCACGAGCAGTGCCTCAGCAACGTCCACATAACAAGCCAACGTCAAACTGAACATCACAGGGCTACTTCTGGACATGCCCTTTATGGAGATGAATTGTACTGCCGAAGACCCAGCAAAAGCAATTCTGATCATTGGGGAAGGGGCTGTGCAAACAGATGGCAATAGAAGTTAATTCTTGAATGTACGGCTCTGATAGTGAGCCAGCCCCAGGTGTCTGTCTAGAATACTACTAGCAAGCACTCTGAATACTTGCTTGTCCTTGAGGGAAGCTTCGTTAAGCTTCTGATAGTTACTGGGCAGTGATGAGTTAGAGATTATACAGCCTAGAAAGTGCTTGGCATATAGATTCTCCAAATCTTGCTAATTTAATAGAGATCTACGAAGCCTTACTGACTAAGTCAAATAAGCCATTGAGCTGGGGATAGCGGTGGCATCTTCTTGGGTAAGTTAAGAGACCTAACAAAGACATACTGGTGCTGAGAAAAGCACCCAGAGCCCCTGCCCAGATGTGTGCAGGGAGTCAGGAGAATCAGGTGTGTTGAGACTGGCGGCCTTGTTGATGCTGGGTGTGAGGTATGATTGAGGTTTCGCTATTGCTAACAGCACAGGAGGCCCTGTGCCGAAGAAGGTGTCACAGGATGTGGCCACTGGAGCAGTTCTTACCTCAGAGTGCTTTTGCTTTAAAGACTTCCTTGAAGTCTTCCCTCGTTTTGTCTTAGACCCTGAAGTGCTGGGAAAAGAGGATGGCTTCATCCTGTGTTGTGAGGACCATGGCGAAAACGTGAGCTCTTTCCCCTTCAATGACTTTGAGCCCTGGCACACAAAAAGAACCAGCTCTGTTATTCTCACTTCCCTCTTCGGATTCGTGTCCCTTTATTTTCTTCCCTTGCCCTGAGCTGAAGTAGCAGAGTGAAAGTGCTCAGTCCCAAAGGGCCTGGATCTGTTCTTGCTCCCAGTCCTGCAATCCCCCTCCAGGCCTAATTAACTTGCAAATTAATACTAGTGTACAAAGAATAACATACCTTCAGATCAATGGTTTCTGGAGCCGCCTGGGAAAGGAGTGGGGTATGGTGGTAGCTTGAGGACTGTATCTTGGTAAGAAGGCAGGGGAATAGAAGGCAGGAGTGAAGGGACAGGAATGTGGAGACAAGCCATTGAGCCTGAGCATGAGTATGCCAGGATGACACCTTTCACTTATGCCAGGCTCGCTTTCTCCACTGCTTACACTCAACTCTCCTGGCCTCCCATTCACACTTCTTGCCTCACTGGTAAGCATCTTCTCTTTCAAACTCAAGATGCCAAAACAAGAGAAGCACAGAATAAAAGAAGCAAAAACAAACTTAAATGCAAACCTTGTCACTTACGACGTCCCACTTTTTTCTCATTTCCATTTCTTCTTTATGTTTACTAACCTGTGAAATGAAAGGCCCATGTCATTTGGTATTGTTTGCAAAGATGAAAAGGGAGAATTTTCTATAAAACTACCTTTAGCAATGAAAGAGTAGCATCCTAAACCACGTGACTGCCAAAACTATTATGAGAAAATAAGTTACAATGTTGAATATGATTTAGAAGAGAAAATAAATTTGTACCTAGGAAGAAAAGCATTTTAAAAAGTGAACAGAAATAGACAAAATTGTAAGTATTTATGATCATTAGCATTTATCCATGGCTTTAAGCATAATAGAGATTATAGAGAAACATGCACTATTTGCTGGTGTGGTAATAATTTGTTTCATATGTTATTCAACTAGCTATAGATCTCAGGCCTTATACGATTTTTTTGAGAAAATTCAGATAATTTAATAGTCACACTTCAATAATGTAATGAATGTAATTTTATTTGTTTTAATTATTATTCTTTTAAATCCTCACCTGAGGATATGTTTATTGGTTTTAGAGAGAGAGGGATGGGGGAGAGAGGAAAAAAATATTGATGTGAAAGAGAAACATGGGTCAGTTACCTCCCATGTGCACCATGACCGGGGATCAAACCCGAAACTTAGGTATGTGCCCTGACCAGGAATTGAGCCTGCAACCTGTAGTTGTAGGGGATGATGCTCCAATCAACGGAGCCACCCAGCCGGGCAATATGAATGCAATTTTAATTCAGAAAGTCTAGAGACCCTCATTTAGTAGTTTGCAAAACTAAATTATTGAGTTAACTTAATGGAATTTTAAGGTTGTTGCAGAAGTATCTCTACTTCTACATGAATGTAGCACCAAACACACCTTTGTGTGCTTGCATCCAACTGTGATGAGCCCATGCATGCCGAGATGGTGGAGGCCCTTTGTGCTGAACAAGATATCAACCAAAATGAAATGGATGAAAACAAGAAACTAGGGGAATGGGTAGCCTCTGTAAAATCAACAGAGAGGAAAAACCCCGTCAAGTGGTTGGTTGCAGTTGTGTGGTGGTTAAGGACTTTGGCAAACAGTCTCAGGCAAAGGATGTCATTGAGGCGTACTTCCATGCAAGAAATGAATACATAAACTTGGATTTTGTTTCTCAAAAAAAAAAGTCAATTTTAATTTCTAGGCATTAAAGGCATTTTATTAATATTTTTTAAAATTGAGGTGTAATTGACACATAACCTTGCATTAATTGTTGTACATCAATATTTGTATTTATTGAAAAATCATCACCACAAAAAGTCTAGTTAACATCTATCACTACACAGTTATAATGTTTTTCCTGTAGGGACTTTTAAGATCTACTCTCTTAGCAACTTTCAAACATATAATACAGTGGGGATGCTTTACATCCTCATGACTTATTTATCTTGTAACTTTAAGTTCATACCTTTGATTACCTTTACCCGTTTAGCCCACCCTCACCTCCCACCTCTGGCTACCACCAATCTCTGTATTTATGAGTTTGGTTTTTTGTTTTTATTTTAGATTACACACAAAGTGAGATCATATAGTATTTGTCTTCCTCTGACATTTCACTTTGCATGATTTCCTCAAGGTCCATCCACGTTGTCACAAATGTCAAAAAAATATATTATTAATGCATGCTTCAATAAACAAGTTTTAATAATATGAATTTGTAAGTATTGCCAGTGATCTGAATCTGAGTAATCTTATTATGAAAGTAAACAATGATGAAAAATACCTCTAACCATTAATTTCATTGGTGTCTAAACATCAGCTATAATATATTTTCAAAGATATTTCTTCCCTCATGGACACAGACAATAGGATGGTGAAGGCCTGGGGTTGGTGAGGGCTAGAAGGGGCCAATCGGGAGGTGAGGATATGTAATACTTTCAAAAATAAAGATTTTGTAAAAACTATCTCTTCCCTATTGATAGATCAGAATTCAATAAAATGTAACTGTCTCATGACATCTTGGGATCTGGGAAGATAGTAACTGATGTCTGTGAAGAACTGTGTTAGGTTATCTCAGTGGGTTTATTAAATTCAAGGCTAATGTTATAATTAACTTCCATGATAATGGTTTAAAAATAAATCCTAAAAAAATTAGAAAGCTGGAGGCACTACACTTCTTGATGTCAAACCATATTATAAAGCACAGTAATTAAAACAGTATTCTCAATGGTTAGAGTGTTGGCCGGAGCACTGAAGGATCACAGGTTTGATTCCCAGTCAAGGGCAAACAGTCTCAGGTTTGGGTAGCAGGTTTGGTCCCAACCCTAGGTGAGGGAGAGTGGGGGAGATAACCGGTCCATGTGTCTCTCTCACATTGATGTTTCTCTCTCCTTCCCTCTCTCTCTCTCTCTTTCTCTCTCTCTCTCTCACACACACACACACACAAACAAAACAAAACAATATGGTGCTAGCATAAAAAACAGACATGTAGACCAATGGAACAGAATCAAGAGCCCAGAAATAAACCCATATATGTGTAGTCAACAAATATTTGACAAAGTAGCCAAGAATACTCAATGAAGAAAATGCTCTTCAATAAATAGTGCTGGGAAAATTGGATATTTACATTTAAAAGAATGAAACTAAACCCGTACTTTATACCACTCAAAAAATTAAATTGAATGAATGAAAGACTTAAATGTAAGACTGGAAACCATAAAACTCCTAGAAGAAGACATTGAGAAAAATCTTTTTGACATGGGCATTAGTAATAATTTTTTTATATGATGCTCAAAACACAACAAAAGCAAAAATGAACAAGTAGGACTATATCAAACAAAAAAGCTTCTGAATAGCAAAAGAAACAACAAAATGAAAAGCATCTATAGGCTAGGAGAAAATATTTGGAAATTATCTACACTAATAAAAAACAAACATGCAAATTGACCATACCTTTGCTATGCCTTAAGCCACACCCACCAGCCAATCAGAGCAACTACATGCAAATTAACCCAACCAAGATGGCGGCCGGCAGCCATGGAGCTGGAGCAAGCAGGAGGCTTGGTTGCCCCAATGATAGAGGAAGCCAAGCATCCCAGCCGCGGACAGCTCTGAGCCCTACTCAAAGCAACAAAGTTTCAATTGTAGAAGATAAATAATCCCCAGATACCTGATTTCAGCCAGCCATGGCCATGTAGCTGGAGCGAGCAAGAGGCTTCCCTCCTGCCCACCTCGGCCAGCTCTGAGCTCCTCTCAAAGCAACAAAGTTTCAATTATAGAAGGTAAATAAATCCCACAATAAAAAAAAAGAAAAAAAGGAGAAGCTGTGAGCTTCCGTCACCGGGGGAGCTTGGCCAGCCTGAAAATGGCCCCTCACCCAGGCTGGCCAAACCTCCTTGGGGTGAGGGTCCCCACTGCGGGGGGGGGGCGTGGCAGTGGTGGTGGCGGGAGCCTCTCCCACCTCCTCAGCAGCAGTAAGGATGTCTGACTGAAGCTTAGGTTTGCTCCCTGCTGGTAAGTGGACATCCCCTGAGGGCTGTCTGACTGCCAGCTTGGACCTGATCACCCAGTGATCCGGCCTAAGCCAGCAGGTGGACATCCTCCGAGGAGTCCCAGATTGCAAGAGGGCATAGGTCAGGCTGAGGGACCACCCCACCCCCCAAATGCACAAATTTTTGTGCACCGGGCCTCTAGTATATTTTATAAGGAGTTAATATCCAAACTATACAGCTCAACAGCAAAAAACAGCACAATCAATCCAATTAAAAATAGGCAGATGATCTGACATTTTTCCAGAAGATATTCAAATGGCTAACAGGTTCTCAACCTCACAAATCATCAGGGAAATGTAAACCAAATCACACTTGTCAGAATGGACAAGAAAGAACAAGAGATAACAACTGTTGACAAGGGTGTGAAGAAAAGGGAACTATTGCACACTGTTGGTGGGAATGTAAATTGGTGCAGTCACTATAGAAAACACTATGGAGATTCCTCAAAAAATTAAAAATAGAACTACCATGTGACCCAGAAATTCCATTTCTGGGTATTTATCTAAAGGAATAAAAAAGCACTAATTTGAAAAGGTATGTGCACTACCATGTTCACTGAAGTATTAGTTACAATAGCCAAGATATAAGTAACCTAAGTGTCCATCAATAGACAAATGGATAAAGATGATATGGTATATATATGTAATGGAATCTTACTCAACCATAAAAAAGAATGAAATCTTGCCATTTGTGACAACATGGATGGAATTTAAGGGCATTATGCCAAGTGAAATAAATCAGACAGAAAAAAAATCGTATATTATCTTATTTATAGTAAAATCTAAAAAGAAAACCAAAACCCCACACTTCATAGCCCAGCGGGCATGGCACAGTGGTTGAGTGTCTGTCTATGAACCAAGAGGTCACCCACCGTTCAATTACCCATCAGGGCACATGCCCGAGTTTCAGGCTTGATCCCCGATGGGGGGCCTGCAAGAGGCAGCCAATCAATGATTCTCTCTCTCCATTGATGTTTCTATCTCCCCCTTTCCCTTCCTCTCTGAAATCAATAAATATATTTTAAAAAAACACACACACACAAATGACCTCGTAACCTCATAGATACAAGGAGCAGATTGGTGGTTGCCAGAGGCAAGGAATGGAGGGGCGAAATGGTGAGGGTGATCAACAGGTACAAACTTCCGGTTATAAAACAAATTAAGTCCTGGGGATGTGAGGTACAGCAGGGTGATTATAGTTAATGACACTGTATTATATAGTTAAAGTTGCTAAGAGAATAAATCAAAAGTTCTCATCATGAAACGAAGTTTATAACTGTGTGGCGATTGATGCTAACGAAACTCATCCTGGTAATATTCTGTAATATATACATATATTGAATCATTTTGTTGTACACCTAAAATACAATGTTATATGACAATTATATTTAAAAGTAAAAGAATGCCACTAAGCGTAGGCATCTTAGGAAAATATAACATTTTTTCATATGCTTCCCTTAAAGCCAATGTAAGAATACCATTGCTCCATCTTTTATTGCTTACCTATACTTTTTACTATCAGCTCTATGACTTTTAAAACGAGGCTTTAACTAGGCCAGAAAATAAACTGTATAAGCAAGCATGGAACAAAAAAACCATCAGTGAGAACGTTTTTTAAGTTTTACAAATTGACTCTGGTCCCTCTCCCTTCTCCCACTCCTCCATCTGAGTGCAATCACAAACCTTCATTTCTGGAAACCTTCATTTCCGGTGAATAACAGGCTGCCTGGTGGGGGGCGAGGGGTGCCAAACAGTGACCTTGCTGGGCCCAATGGTATGCCATGGAAAGCGTGGTTGTAAGAGGAACCTTAAGCTTACTCCCTCCACTGAAAACATGGACCCCAACCTAGTTTTGAGGGACTGAGGCTCTGATGCTGTTGTGGGGTTTGTGATAAAAGATCTTGCTGCTTGGCAACAAGCGGGGGCTCAACAAACTTCTAAACAACGAAATAAAAGGTGATTGGTTCCCCCGGGGGCAACAGAATAAGCACCGGTTAACCTCATACAGTTCAAATAAAGAGGAAAAATGATTCAAAAACTATGGGGACTGTTCTTAATACAGGCACAAACTTCCTGACTGAGTAGTTTAATTTCTTGTCTAACATTGCTAACAAACGGGCGGGCAATATAACCTTTGCTTCCCACTCTATAATAGCACTTTCCATTTCAATGACAACATTTAGTTTTTTTTCAGAAGCAACTCCTGGACTTTGGAAAGAAGAGGGTGGGGTGGGGTGGGGCAGAAGAGATTCACCAAGTATACGCAAATAATTAAGCCAATTTTTTTTATATGCAGGTATTTAAAGGTAAAGAGTTCAAAATAACGTTTTTGTTAATACACGGTTTCTATGACTAGCTAGCCATCATTTTTTTTTTCTTTGCCTGCATTCACAAGTTGGTTTCATAGAAGGCTGTATTGTAGTCCGGGAGCATTGTTTTGCATTAATTTCTATGACAAGGAACCCAAAACACATGGTGCCGAGAGTAACAAAACAGAGTTAGGAAAACAGTCATGACTTGGCACAAAGTGTGACAAGCTGTAAAAAGAGGCATGTTTCAATATCTGAAGTGGTGTGGATTTCCTATGAGCAACCTTTTCTCTTCTAAACAGTATCATATTCTTTTCAGGCACATTTAGAACGCAAGTCAAGCTGTGTTTTATTTTTGATTATAATAAACACAGTCAGTTTACTATAACAAAGACATAGTAGTGGTGATCAGTTGAAAGCCAAAGTACAACCCCATAAGCTGGGCGGGGGGTAGGATGGGGGGCCCCGGGGGTGGGTAGTCAACTGATAAAATAAAAGACCAGCCGTCTGGAAAGTTCTCTTAAAAGAACATAAAAAAAGGCAGTGTTTTCTTATGAAACTAACACAGAATGCCAAAATATCTAACTTGGCTCTTTTTTTTTTTTGTCACTAAGGGCAATTTGTAACTAAAAATAGAAAATCCTTCAAAATTCTGGGCTCTCCATAATAAAATTCAAAAATTTCATACACTACTTTAAATTATAATACTATTTCTTATGTAAAACTCTTCTACATAATAAGTATATTTGTTATAATACCACTCAAATGATCATTTTAAAATGTTTATAATTATGCATGCACTTAGATTATTGATAAAGGGAAAACGAATAGTTCACAATAAACAGGTACAAAGACAGTTTAGAAAACTCTCATGATTAAATTAAATTCCTGAATTCAAATTTATTAGGAAATAATGTAAATCACCTTACCATTTCTTGAACTAATACTTTTTCAGCATTAAGTTCAGCCTTTAATTTATCTCTACCTTCAGTTAACTGAAAGAGAAGAACATTACATTTTGATTATAAAACAGACCACAAAAGAATTTAGTGAAATATATTTTGTTTCTGAATATGAGAAAAACAGATCCCAATATGATTAAAGAAAAAAATTAAATGTCTAATGCTAAGTGAAATAAGCCAATCATAGAAAGACAAATACCATATGATTTCACTTATATGTGGAATCTAATGAACAAAATAAACTAACAAATAGAAACAGATTCATAGCTGTCAGAGAGAAGAGGGTGGGAGGCCTGGGTGAGAAAGGTGAAGGAATTAAGAAAAAATCATACAACCTCATAGGCAGATAATAGTATAGTGATGACCAGAGGGAAATGGGGGTGGGAGAGGCAGGAGAGGGTAAAGGGGGGATAAATGGCTATGGAAAGAGACATGACTTGGGGTGGTGAACACACAACACAATATACATGATGTATTATAGAACTGTACACCTGAAATCTATATAATTTTATTAACCAATATAACCCCAATAAATTCAATAAAAATTAAATGTCTACAGATTACCATGTACTAATAACATATTACTGTATAATTATTACTAGACACCCAGAAGGACATATGGTCTAATTACCATATTATGCTTTTATTATTATAGATATATATAGCCATATTTCATACCGATTAAAAACAGCCAATGTGCTCCCAGGGATGAAGTACCCAGTGCACAAAAATCGTGCAGAGGTGGGGTCCCTCAGCCCAGCCTGTACCCTCTCCAATCTGGGACCACTCGGGGGATGTCTGACTGCTGATTTAGGCCCAAACAGTGCTGGATTGAGGCTAAACCAGCAGTTGGACATCCCTCTTGCAATCCGGGACCACTGGCTCCTAACCGCTTACCTGTCTGCCTGCTTGATCGCCCCTAACCACTCTGCATGTCAGCCTGATGCCCCTAACTGCTCTCCCCTGCCAGCCTGAATCCCCTAACTGCTCTTTCCTGCTGGGCCTGTTCGCCCCTAACTACCTCTGCTTCAGCCCCACCACCATGGCTTTGTCCAGAAAGATGTCTAGAAGGTCGTCTGGAAGATGTCCGGTCTAATTAGCATATTACCCTTTTATTAGTATAGATACTTTTATTATATATGCAAACAAAATATACACAGAAAATGTCAATTTATTTACAACCTTCGTCATCTCCAAAAATGTGATATCAATACATAATAAAGCAAGTCTTAATTAGTCAAAAAGAGTGATTTACTCTTTCTATCACCCATTTCTTATTTTAGGTTTTTGTGATATATATGTATACTAGAGGCCCGATGCACAAAATTCACATAAGAGTAGGCCTTCCTTCCCCCAGCGGCCAGCACCCAGGACCCGGGCTTCCCTCACAGCCCTGGCTTCATCTGGAAGGTCATCTGGAAGGACATTCAGAAGGACATATGGTCTAATTACCATATTATGCTTTTAGTATTATAGATATATATAGCCATATTTCATACCAATTAAAAGCAGCCAGTGTGCTCCCAGGGATGAAGTACAGAGACCCCAGGAAGGGCCGCTATGAAGCTGAACCTTGCAGAGGCGAGGCAGGCGCGGGCTGGGGAACAGTGTGGTGACGGTAAAGAGAGGAGTTTTATTTCCAGGCCCACAGTCTCTAAGGTCCCCTTTCCCCAGCATCCCCCCAAGATTCCCAGGGGAAGGTCCTCAGCTCCCCCGGACAGGCTAAAAAATAAAAAAAATAAAAATAAATAAAAAATAAAAACAGCCAGTGTGGCGCAGTGGTTCAGTGTCAGGAGGTCACTGTTCGATTACCGGTCCAAGCACATGCCTGGGTTGTGAGTTTCATCCCCAGTGTGGGGCATGCAGAAGGCAGCCAATCAATGATTCTCTCTCATCATTGATGCTTCTATCTCTCTCTCCCTCTTCCTTCCTCTCTGAAATCAATCAAAATATATTTAAAAACAAAAAAGAAAGAGAGCAAGAAACATTGATGTGAGAGAGACACACAAATTCGTTGCCTCCTGCATGAGCCTGGACCGAGCCTGGGATCGAACCTGAAACCCTTCAGTGTGCAGGCTGACCACTGGTTTTGATATCCGTTCAATTCAATTAATTCATATATTCACTAATTTAATAAACATGTAGGGGACACCCTTTAGATGCCTAACATTTTGTTTGACTATGGAAATATAAAAATGAGCTAGAGCAGATCCCTTCCCCTGCAGTATCCAGTATGGTAGGAGAGAAATGTGAAATCACTATAGAACATAAAGACAAATGTTACATCAAATCTTCAGGTAGTCGAAAAGCATAAAAATCCACATAACACAGCAACCGTAATTATAATAAGGTCTGTTATTCTAGGTTTTAACTTCACAAGAGTAGTACCATCGACAAGGGTCTTGAAGAAGATGCAGAAATTCAACAAGCTGGAGAAGGAGGAAGGTGGAGGAAACAGCCAACAAAACAGCAGTGTAGACAGAGGGAAGCATCAAGTAAGGGAGGAACTGGGAAACCTTTGGTGTTATATGACTTAGGTGCTTACACAGAGGAATGGCAGGAAATGAAGGCAGAAGGAAATTCGGGGTGATATTATGAGGGGCCTTGCTCCCCACAGTTAGGAGGGGAAGGCAGAATGATGTAATGAATAGTAGTTGGTTCAAGTCAAAGCTCTGCTTCTTTCTTCTGTGTAAGTTAATTCTCCACTTTAAGCTTAATTGTCTCATATAATAAAGAGTTATTGTGGGAGGAATTGGAGATAGCAAATATGAAAGTGCTTAGTTGTTGCTGATATTAAAAATCACTCGGTACATTTTAGGGTAGGCTGGTTTTATACGGAAGGCGATGGGAAACCATTGAGGGTTTTAGCACATTAGATTAGGGTACTGGATAACTATGGCAGTAGAGAATGACTCTAGTCAAATCGACCCCTCTTTCTTCTCCCCCTCTCCCTCCCTCCCTTCCTCTCTCTTTAAAATCAATAAACAAATTTTGCAAAAAAGAAATTGAGGATGAGGACAGAGTTAAAATTAAGGAGGTGGCATTTAGGGAAAATCTAAAGCAGGAGAGAACGGTTTAGAAGTCACTGGTAAACAGGTGTGCCAGTTATGGGAGCATCTGAGGTCAGCCAGAGAAAAAAGAATAAAACAAAGGCCCCAAGAATAGTATTTCAGGGGAGATGGAGGGAGAGAAGCTTCTGACAGACATTGCTTAGAAAAGGATGAAGAAGTGTGTGAAAGGTCAGAAGCAAGCATTACTGCAGAAGACACCTGTGATGTGAGGCATCGTTCTGTCACCTACAGTAGAAAATTCAAAAAGGAAAAAGATGGGAAAGGATTAAGGGCAATATGGATCTCATCGTAACCCAATCAACAGGACAACTCGCATCGGGGGAGAAGAGAAGAGGCTGGTTTTCTTTGAAATGATGTGTAAAGAACAGCGAATGGCAATGGCTTTGGAAGGCACAAGAGAGGAAAGACTGATGAAGAAAGGTCCCAGGAGAGAATAAAGAAGAGATGGAGTCGGCCAACAGGTAGAAGGAGGAATCCAGGAGAAGAATGCCCCTTCTTCTGCTGACAATGAGTAAAGGGAAGCTACGTGACAGAGTCAGAGAGTGCCAAGGAGGAAAAAAATCCCAATGTCCATCATGTTCAAGTGTTCTCTTAGTGCAGGGAAATGGAGTGCTGGAACTGAGAAAGGTTGTGAAAATTGGAAGAGCTGTAGTAGGTAGGTAGTAAGAAAGGGTACTAATCAGATCCATGTGAAATGATAGACAGAGGAAGGGTGCAGCTACTCTGGATTAAAACCTCATATATTGCCCTAACCGGTTTACCCTCATCCTCCTTTCCATTGACATTATTTAAAGATACTTCTTCAACCCCCTGTTGCCCTCCAACAACTCCCCACCACTCCCTGGCCATCCACAGCCAAACTTCGAGAGAGTGTCCATGCTCACTGCCTCCCTTTAGCATTCACCTCTCTTCACAGCTGCTTCTGCCATTCCAGGAAAATGACTCTCGCTAACATGACCAGGGTCATCTTGTTACCAAAGCTAAATGGCCCAGTCTTCCCTGTTAGCCTTTAGCACCCCTGGCTTCTAAGCAGCATTTGACACACTGGAAGTGTGTCCTTCCTTTTTTGAGAATTTCTTGATGGCTTCTGAAGTGCCCTCTCCTGCTTCTCTCCCTGTTGTGTCACCCTGTTCTCATTTTCATCTAAATGCTATCCAGCCTTAACTCCCCCCTCTCCTTTATTATTTCACCTCCAACCATACCGGTGACCAGAGCCATAGCTGCTGAATCATCTTTTGAGTGCATCCCTTCCCATGATCCTCAATGTCACTGTCCTCATTTTGTTTCAGGATCGTATAGTTTCCATGCTTTCTCCAAGTAACTCTTAACTCGTCTCTCTCGCTCTGGATTTTCCACCTTCCCATGTGTTTTCTTTAGGAAACACACATGGGATCCTGCCCCAATGTTCAGAGCCCCTCAGTGCACAAGGAAGGGCGTTCAAACCTCTTGGAATGAATCATAATCCTCTACCATGCACCCTGCTCCTCAACACCCCTTATTCTCAGGTGCCTTCAGCTATTGCAAACCACACACATTTACTTCCCTTTGGCATGTTTCTTACCCTGGCCACCTTCCCCTCATCCTTGCCTGGAATTCTAACCTCTCTTTCAGGAGTCAGCTCAGTGCCCTTCTTCCAACCTTCCCTGGCCCCGTACTCCTCAGGCTGGGTGTGCCCACTGTGCACTTGGTGCCACCTGCCTCCTGAAGCCCATCACACCCTGGGCCGTAATCTCTGACTGATGGCCTGTCTCCCTCCCAGAAAGAAATTCTTATTGTGGCCACAGCTGGAATACAGATTCAGCTGTTGTTAGATCATTGGAACTAAAACAGTGACACTACATAATGGATAATTTTTAGCTCGGACAGGTGGTAAGAGGTCAGCCTCCCCAAGTTCAGTCCCATTTTCAACTTGCATTTAATTGTAACCACGGCGAAAAAAGGGAGCACATGACTTATCCAGAGGTTTCCGAGCTGCCCTTTCCATTCCTCCATTTCCTGCCTACCTCTTCCCCACACCCCACACCCCAACTTCCCCTCTTCCTACCCCACCACAAATTCTCACCACATGGTCTCCCCAGATTCCTGCCTCATACCTAGCCATACCAAATCACAAACATCTCTCACTCATGATGTAATCACACTCTGATGTACCCAGCTCTTCTACCCTCTTACCTCCTGGAAAAATCAGCTCAAGTAAAAGAGTGTGAGGTGGATGTGGAACTGTTTGCAAACCCCTCATAGAACCTTCCAGGCATCTCTTCTCTATGTGCAGACTTCTATTATAGTCCATATAGTCCTTATCTCTACATGACAGGTAGACAGAATAGCTTTGGGAAACGTTTAAATGAACTGGGACGGTTCCCTTATAGATTCTTAAGTGACATTGGCAAGCTGAGATTTTATTTTCCACCTTAGAACTTGATGCCAAGATTAGGCTTGTCTGTGTCCAGACTCTGCTAGCTCTGTGGGAAGGGGGTTTCGCCGCCACCACTGCAAACACGGTGAAGCACAAGAACAGGAAAGCACTTTGGGAAAACGTATGACAGATTCAGTTACCAGAGAAAACATCTCCCAAATCTGGGTGGCCATATCTTTAAAATATAGTTTTTTGAAGTAATTTTACCTAAAACATAAGAATACCCTAAACTGCAAAATCAGGTTGAAAACTGAACCTAAACATAGGCCCATGAGCCCTGGAAATGGGGTTAATGTGATAGAAGAACTGTTAATTTTATCTAATTTTAATTAATTTTTAATTAGAAACTGATACTTGATTCAGTTCATAGAAAGCAGGTATGTTTATTTAGAATCATTCAGGGAGGCAAATCCACTTTTTCACCTGTAAATTCTGTAAATGTTATGGATTCTAAGTACATTCTCACTCTATGAAAGGCTCCAAAGGGTATTTGTGAGTAAGTGTGCCACGCGCTGTGCTCAGCCCTGGGACTGTGCCAGAGACCAAGAGCACGCAGTCTCTGCCCTCGTGGGGCTAAGGTACCGCAGGGAAGACGGGCCTCACAGAAAGGTGTTTCGGGAGCTGCAGTAGGGGCAGCTAAGAAAGCACATTGGGCTAAGAAAGCACAAAGCAGAGCCCCTGACCTGGGTCCTGCTGCATTGAGTGCACTAGGAAATCTTGATCTTTATGACACCAAAGAATTCCCTGTTCTAAATGCAAATTTCCTGGGTAACATGAGCCCAGTTAATTCATGTATCGAAAAATGAACATAAACCACCATCTGACCTGAGAATCCGACTGCTCACTCTTAACAATATGATTTTTCCACAGACACATCTCTGGCCTCCCTGCCCTGTAAGTTTTTGATTCCTTACAATCAACAAGAGAGACTTTTAGTTATCCCAAATAAAAGGAGTATCTATACATTAATTCAATACCAAGACAGAATCCTTATTCATTACTAAGACCTTCCCAAATAATGAGAAATCGACTTGACATCACAGGACAAGTGGGGCACAGCGTTATTTCACCAATTGGGCTGATATTTTAATTTAAAAGAGTCATTCATCAATGTAAAAAAAGTTACAGTACCCTTTGAATGGTTTTCTGATCCTTCGCTGCCGTCTCTTTCAGAGTCATAATTTCATCTTCTATAAACAAAAAGAGAGAGAGACCAACCATGAAATTACAAGTTTATGCCCTGTATTCAAACTTCCTGCTTCCAGGCAGGCTGTACACCACTGGCAGGCATGGTGGACGCAAGTCCTAGCAGGACTGTGACCTTCACAACTGCCCTTGACACTCACAGCCTTCTTCCTGCTGTTAAGAAGGCTGGTCAGATAGGGATTAAGAACTAAGTTCAAGATCCAAGTGTGGCCGAGGGCTGAAAGCTTTTCATCAATACTCGCCATGGACACTTTTGCTGCTAGTCACAGCCTATGCAAAGCGCTTCAGCAGGTGGCACGTTTTGACTCAGTCAGCACCACCAGAACCTAACAAAGCACTATTACACCACATCAGAAGAAAAGCCAAACTACACTGGCACAGTACAACTGTATATTTAAGAGATATTGTAATAGAAATGATTTTATCCATATTTTGTGACTTCTTTATTGCTTACTCGATACCTTTCATACTGCAGATTAAGAGCAACATTATATAACATAAATACAAAGATAACAGTCAGTGAAAAAAACTGCTTAAAGCAATATAACTTTGGAGGTTAAAATGAAACTCTCACCAATGTTTATGGTATGTAAAAAAAAGGGGGGGGGGATATGAATGAACATTTGTACTTAAAATCTGTACCAAAAATTGAAGATAATTAAGTAGTAAGTCAGAGCATACATTTCTGAAGGGCTAACCCCGTTTCTCCACAAGCCATATCTCAATATGTATTTATAAGTTTTTAATGTTATAAATTTTACATAACTAATTAAGCATAAGAAACAGAAATTGGCAAAGGTTTCTGTTTTATAACATTTCTAAGTAAAATAGAGCATGGATTAGCACATTTTTTCAAAGGTCAATGCTTGGCTTGAAAGAAAAAAGCTTAGAAAAGCCCTGAGTTAAAATGACATGGCTCAGGAGTATAATTACAATATTTACATATATTCCCTGTCCCAAGCAAGAAATGCCATTTTAAATGAAAATCAAAGATGGCTATCAAACTGATCTTTCAAATGTAAATAACCAGATAAATGTGTGTTTGGAAAAGACAAACATAGCTATGAATTTTAGAAAGTGCCCAATATATAGATTTCCCTTAAAAATGACTTTAAACTATTACCTAAAAATGCATTTTCTTTTAGATTGAGTTGGGCTACTTCTTCGAGTTCTGCAACGACTTGAAGCAGTCTCTCATTTTCCACTTTGTACTCCAAATGTTCCTTCACCAAAGCTGTTTCAGGGCTGGCCTCTGTCGCCAAAGCTTCCTGAAAGATGGGGAATTCCATATTTGTAAGCAGGGAGCCAAGAATTTAAATAGGCAGCACAAGACAAGACAGATACAGAAGAGCTATCATATAATTTTCTGAATTCTATTACACACTTACAATATGAATAGCAAAAAGGAAGGGGATTAAATAGAGCTTGCTGGAAGAAAGGCTGCAGTACATTCTGTACAAAGACCACAGCACATGGGGACATTTTATTGACAGGAATAATGCATATCATACTGTTTGTGTGCCCTCATCATTCAGGTCAATTCATTATGGAGGCTATGTCCGGGGAGGCAGCTGGGGCCCCTCACCCACATTTCCCCCTGTGTGCGTCTGAAGTGCTGTCTGCCTGTAACTAGGCAGGCTGGGGAGATGTGGCCGGGCAGCGGCAGGGGGTGGCAAAGTGCACCGTGAAGGAGGGAGGCTTGTTGCCTTTGTGGCATCTCCCAGTGTCAGTGCTGCCGGTGTCATGAGGAGCACATCACATGTCAAAGTGGTGACGTTTTCAGGCTGGGAGCCGCATGGAGTCCATCAGGCACTCGGATATCCACACAGTTGGTTTTCTGCTTGGTGGAGGAGCCACCCAGAGGCAATTCATATTCTGAACATTAACATGGCTTTGCATGCCTGTCACACTGGGGCTGTGCAGGCGTTTAATGCTATTGAAGACTTCGGTTTAAGTCTCTATGCAAACAGTGATTACCTTGTAAGAAGGTTTCAGGATAACTTACAACAAAAGACTTTAAAGTTATAGTTTTAGTAAAGCACACTCATTTACATTTTTATTATGTGAGTCTTTTGTTTAAATCTTGCCATGTCCATTATGGGAGAGGCTTTTTCTTACGCAATAGAAGCTTATAGGGACAGCGACTCTTCTTTTCTTCTTCTTCTTGTCTTGTTTCAAAGCTATTGGAGACATCTGAATATACTCGCTTACGGCTGTCTACATTTTACTGCCACACGTTATTTTTAAAATTAAGATGTAATGGATTGGGGAAGCTGGTGCGGAACTTTATGCTTCATGGTGGTAAAATATTAAGCTGATTATGCCATCTCAAAATATTAAAGAGTATGCTTACAGGTCATTATATTAGGCTAAAAGAGATAGAAGGTTCTATATGCCTTGCTTCAAAATCGATAGACACTAGAAATACTTTTGAACTTTAAAGTAATCTTTAGATGAATTCTAACTTATCTTTCCATAGCAATGTCATGGCTGCAGATACACAAGAATAAGATTTCCCCTCAAAACCAAAATCATTCCTCCCAATGTGCTGCTTTCCTTTTGGAATTGTATTTTTACTTAACTTTAGAGATACCTGGAAGTAAATTATTAAAATAGTTTTAAAAAAATATTTTCCTTTGTGCTCATAATGGCCTAAAAGAAAAATAAGTGTATATAATGTCTTGTGTAACAATAATTTCTTACAAATCAAGCATTTTAGTGAAGTAGTTAGGTCAGAGTTAATATTAAGTTTTGCCTAATAAAATAATGTTAAGTTTTGCCTAAGCTCAATTACAAATCTTCATGAGTTTGATTCACCATTTCATTAAATTATTTGAGCTTGATTCATTCTTAACCAAATATCTAATAGTTATGTTTTCTTATTAGTGGAGAAATCCAGTTATTAATGTCTTGTCCCACAGGGTTAAATTTGAAATGATTACAGAATATATTTATAGACTAAAAAGGAATTTATTGATTTATGGTCTAAAAGTGTTTTTAAGTAACAAACAAATAATATTTGCCTTGCTAGGCTTATGCATACATTTCCTAACAGTGACAAAATACGAACATCCACAGTGGATTACATGAGTGCCATTACCATAAAATAAACAAGAACTATTTGAATTAATCAGGTGAAGCCTAAAATTTGTAACTGGCAGCAGCTAATACCTAAGTTCATTTTCTAAAAAGTTCATTTCAAAGCAGATGTATAAGATCTCTCCCCCTTACCTCCATGCAATTTTTAAAAATTGTTTAGAAGTAGGAAACAAGGAAAACACATTTAACTCAGATTTATTTTCTCCACATAGCCATCGACAGCTCCTGTTCTTATAAGGTTAACCTTTAGCTCTGTCCCCACCATCTGTTCACTGTAGGAACTGCAAGTAATTAACTATTCAGACTCTCACAGCAATGAGGACACTCATTAGCAAAATGAACAAAGGGATAGTTCTGGGCTGCCACGGTCATCTGTTACACTCTGAGTGGCAGGTTTTGTGATGGTGCTCCTTCTACCATCTGCCCACACCACTAGTTTTGGTTTACTTCAAGCGTGGGACTTATTTAAAAAATGCTGCATTAATAAACCAGGGCTAGGAAGATCATTAAAAGGTGGTTAACTAGATGTTGCTAATTTAAAGCCATGTTGTAATAGATGAGAAATTGTGTGTGATTCATGACTATCTTGTAATTTTAAGTTTTTAAAGGAACTTGCCAATTTAAAATGTTCCTATTATGTGGAAAGTAGGACTTTTGGTGGTGGCTTATGCACTATTTTGCTTGTAAACAGTCGCAAGATGTGCAGATTCACGGTTCCCAGGGTTTTTAATTCTAAACTATTCTTGAAAGAATAGTTTCTGAAAACTGGTATACTCTAGCGCCTTGCTGCTCAAAGTGTAGTCCATGGACTAGGAGCCGAAGCATTACCTGGGAGCTTATTGGAAATGCAGAATCTCAGGCCCCAGCCCAGCCCGACTATCAGAAGCTGTTTGTTAACAATTGCTGCAGGTGGTCCATATGCACAATAAAGTCTGAGAAGTGCTGTTTAGAGCACCGCCTGTGCCTCCTCAGCAGTCTCCCTTCTGCCATGTGGGTGCCTCGATTCTGCAGGCTCCATGCACGCTACTTGGACATCTCAATTTGATGCTGGGGGTGGAGTACGTTCTGATGCGTGCCCAGGCTGCATGACAGTCACAGAGCAAAGCAGGTGCTTTCCAATGAGTGACAACCAGGAAAGTGTCATGCTGGGGCAGTGACGCCCTGCAGAGCTGCCACTCTTGAATGACAGCTCTGTTTCAGAACTGTCAGCAACAAGCAGTTATGTTCACCTATGGGGGTGGAGTGGGTGCATGAGTGATGGCTGCACAGTTCATATGTGTTGGGGTAAGAAAAAAAGGGGAAAAGTCTTTTCAAAGAAACTCAATTGCAATTAAAACATATATGTGGCCGGGTTGGGTAGCTCACTGGTTGAGCATCGACCTATGAACCAGGAGGTCAGGGTTAGATTCCCAGTCAGGGCATATGCCTGGATTGTGGGTTCCATGCCCAGTGTGGGGCATGCAGGTGGCAGCCGATCAATGATTCTCTCTCATCATTGATGTTTCTTTCTCTCTACCTCTCTCTTCCTCTTTGAAATCAATAAAAAAATATATTTTTCTTTATTGATTAAGGTATTACATATGTATCCATATCTTCCCATTGCCTCCCCTCCCCCCAGGCCTGCCCTTCACCCCCTGTTGTCTGCGTCCATTGGTTAGGCTGATATACATGCATACACGTCCTTTGGTTGATCTCTCTCCCTTACCCCCAACCTCCCCCACCTTTCCTCTAGCTTATGTTGTTCACTATAATACACAAATGAGTGAGATCATGTGATATTTATCTTTCTATGACTGACTTATTTCACTTAGCATAATGCTCTCTAGATCCATCCATGCTGTAGCAAATGGTATGAGTTCCTTTCTTTTTTACAGCAGCATAGTATTCCATTGTGTAGATGTACCACAGTTTTTTAATAAAAATATATTTTAAAAAAACACATATGCGCATGCATACATATCCATGTACATGCACAAATACCCTGACAAACTGGCCTGCTTTAGTTTTCAAGGGGATTTACCAACGTACAGCTTGGCAACCTGATAACTCCAAGGGCATTCAGTTAAGTCACAATGGTTTCCTACAGAACTAAACCTGAAAAGAAGTTCAGTCCTTGAATGAAGTTATTCTCAGGAAAATTCAACATTTAGGATGTGTGACCTGGAGAGAGGAGGCTACTGAACTTGAAGAGCTTCCTTTTCTAATTTTCATTTTGTTATAAATATAAATTAAACTAGCTGTTTATTAAACTTTTACTTTTCACTCTTCTAAGGTCATAATACTACATTTTTGACAGATGTCTTTCAAAAACAGCCCTGGAGAGATATTAGGACTACTTATTAACTGTAAAGCTGTCTATGTAATTTGACTATCAGTAAGAATTAATTACAGTGTTTTCCCACTGTTTATTCAATTTGCTTGTTTCAAGTTTTTTTCAAGTTATTTCCATTGCTGCTTTGGAACTTTCTAATTGTTTCTCTAAATTCTGTTTTCCAAATCTATTTTCAGATCCTTGGCAACTCAAGCTTTTTTATACCACTAGAGGGAGCAGGTGTATAAGATGAAATTTTAAATAAAAAGATGTATCATCTAGAATTTAAGTGGCATGGAGTTTTAGGAAAGCTAGTTTTTAGAGGAGTATTTGAAAAGTATTTTTCCAGAGAGTTATTTTCTATAGTACGTGATCTGTTTTTGTGGCATTTATTCCGTGTTCTTGAAATGCACACTAGTCCTGGTGAAGCTGGGAGAAACGTATGGACCCAGCTAATCGGATTTATCTCATCTTCCTCAAATCTGAGGGTGTTAACAGGAAAGTGGGTGTGGTCTCCTTGGGGGAAAACTGCAGAGGATTAGTCAGCGGCTTTGGGATGCCAACCTGAGCCAGAGAACACCCTGCTTACAGGACAGCAGCGTGGAAACTCCCACCTCCTGTCCCCCTCACAAAGCCACCTCCATCCTTATCCAGGACATTCAGACAGACCAGGTAACCAGCTGACAACACTTTGAGATGTAAACACTCCCAGTTAGACCTCATGTTTTAGTGGAATGAGTTCAGTTAGGAAGTTGGGACCTTATCAACAGTCCAGAGGCCTGTTCAGTGCATTTCATGGAATGTCAACCAGAAGGGCACATACACTCAGCGCTTCCTCATAATGATAACTAGAATTCATAGGCTTATCTTTTTTCAAAGAACTCAAAGCAATTCATATCCAGCAAAACAGGTAGCCTTCTCATCACTTTCTCTTAGCCAGGCAGGTATCACTTTCCAGTTCACAAATGGAAAATAAATGAATCAAAATGGCCTTGCCAATTGATGCTGCACTTCTTTGGCCAAGGCAAAACTAAAAGCCGAAACCCAAACAGGTGCTTTTTTAGCCTTTTATATTGAATAATTTTACCTAAGAAATAGGGGTAATATAGACCCATGAAAAGGTTCATAAAAGTAAATGCAAAAACTGGATCTTCCTTTGCCTCCAAGGCCATCAGAACATGTAAAAAGACAATATTCAATTTTATTAGATCTGTGTTAATAACAACACTACATTACTTAGAAGATGATAAATTTTTTTTGTTTTTAGAGCGTAAATAACTCTAATTGATTAAACAAAGCAAATACTCCTTCACCAACCTGAACCAGTGAGTAAGCAAAGTCCTTTAGAAGGATGCACATTCAATTCCTTGTCTCTTCTAACTTCAAAGCTTTAAGTGTGGAATTTAAGATTGTACTTAAAGGGACCACCAGCTCATATGTGTTTCTTCCTAGTGATTTTATTTGTAACTTCTCATATTTTTATTACTGTGTCGATATTTACATGTATATATATACATGTGTAATATATTAATTATAATAATATACATTATAATAGAAATATACATTATCCTATATAATAAAAGGCTAACATGCAAATTGTTCCCTTGACCAGGAGTTTGACCAGGGGGTGGGGCCAACCTTCCAACTGCCTGCGGCTCCTCCCACTGGCTGGCCCCGCTCCCAATTGCCCCTCCCCTAATTGGCGGCGGGGCTGGCCAGCCAACCTCCTGCATCCCCTCCCCATGGACAGACTGGCTCCATCAGCCCAGATTGGGGCAGGCTGGCTGGACACCACCTATGCACGAATTCATGCACCAGGCCTCTAGTAATAACATAATCATATACTAGTATATGTGTTTATACTAAAGGCCTGGTGCACAAAATTTGTACATGGCTAGGGTCCCTAGGCCTAGCCGATCAGGGCCCTCCAGCAGCTGGCTTGGGCCTTTCTTCCGGCTGCCAGCTGGGGCTTTCCTTTGTCCTTCACCGCCCCCTAGCGGTCAGCACACATCATAGCGAGGGATTGGTCTCCCAGTCTAACTCCCGTGGGGACAATTTGTATATTAGGCTTTTATATAGAGAGATATATGTATATGTATGTATAAAACAGCCTTTAATTCTTACTGTAGTGCACAGAGCTCCACTTCCTTCTGTAGGCTGTGGATTCAGCTGGACCTCGAGCTCATATTCCATCTTTACCATTGACTAGCTGTGTGTCTAGTGCAGCTGTGGGCAAACTACGGCCCGCGGGCAGGATCTGGCCCATTTGAAATGAAAAAAACTATTGAAAAAAAAGACCGTACCCTTTTATGTAATGATGTTTACTTTGAATTTACATTAGTTCACACAAACACTCCATCCATGCTTTTGTTCCGGCCCTCCAGTCCAGTTTAAGAACCCATTGTGGCCCTCGAGTCAAAAAGTTTGCCCACCCCTGGTCTAGTGGGAAGTTACTTAACCACCCTGTCTCTGCTTCCTCATTTGTAAACTGATCTGTGAGATGAGAAGAGGTACCACTTTACTCCATTCCATGTTCTTTCCTCCTATGTCAAATATTAATTGACCATAAAGGCGTGGGTTTATTTCCCTGCTCTCTATTCTGTTCCATTGATCAATATGTCTGTTGTTATGCCAGTACCATGCTATTTTGAGTACTATGGCTTTGTAGTATAGCTTAATTATCAGGTAGTGTGATACCTCAAACTTTGTTTTTCTTTCTCAAGACTACTGAGGCCATTCCGGGTTTTTCATGGTTCTGTATAAATTTTTGAAATTTTTGTTCTAGATCTGTGAGCTATGCCATTGGTATTTTAATAGCAATTGTGTTGGATTTGTATATTGCTTTGGATAGTATGGACATTTTAATGGTGTTAATTTTTCCTATCCATGAATATGGTATATGCTTTTGCTTATTTGTATCTTCCTCAATTTCTTTCTTCAGTACCTTATAATTTTCCAAGTACAGATCTTTTACCTCCTTGGCTAAATTTATTCCTGGTACCTTTTTGTTGCTGTTGTTGTTGCAATAGTAAGTGAGATTGTTTTCTTAATTTCCCTCTGTAATAGTTTAATATTGATGTATAAAAATGCCACTTATTTCTTTTTTAAAAAATTCTTTATTGTTGAAAGTATTACATATGTCTCCTTTTCCCCTATTGACTTCTCCCAGCTCACTCCTGCCAATTTCTGAATATTAATTTTATATCTTACTACTTTGCCAGATGCATTTATTAGGTCTAGTAATTTTTGGTGAAGTCTCAGTCTCTTCAATAAATGGTGTTGGAAAAATTAGACAAATACATGCAAAAAAAATGAAACTAGACCACCAACTTATACCATACACAAGAATAAACTCAAATTGGACTAAAGACTGAAATGTAAGTCACAAAACCATAAAAATCTTAGAAGAAATCATAGGCAGTAAAATCTCAGAAATTTCTTGTAGCAATATTTTTGCAGATATATCTCCTTAGGCAAGGGAAACAAAAGAAAAAAATAAACAAATAGGACTATATCAAACCAAAAAGCTTTTGTACAGAAGAAACCATCAACAAAATGAAAAAAGATCCCACTGAATGGGAGACCATATTTACCAATGACACATCTGATAAGGGGGTTAATTTCCAAAATGTATAAAAAAACTTATACTACTCAACAGGACAAACAACCTCAAGAGGACAAACCACCAAATTAAAAAATGGGCAAAGGACCTGAATAGACACTTCTCCAAAGAGAATGTACAGGTGGCCAAGAGACATATGAAAAAATGCTCAACATCACTAATCATCAGAGAGATGCAAATTAAAACCACAATACAGTAGGACATCTCCTCATCCTGTCAGAATGGCTATCGATAAATCAACAAACAAGCACTGGCAAGAATGTGAGGGAAAGGGAACCCTCATACATTATTGGTGGGAATGCAGAATGGTGCGGCCACTGTGGAAAACAGAATGATGTTTGCTCAAAAATTTTAAAATGGACTTGCCTTTTGATCCAGTGATTCCACTTCTGGAAATATATCCAAAGTAACCCAAAATACTAATTTGAAAGAATATATGTTCCCCCTATGTTCTTAGCAGCATTATTTAGTATAACTAAAGGTCTGGTGCATGAATTTGTGCATAGGTGGGGTCTGGCCAGCCCACCCCAATCTGGGGTGCAGTGGGGGGGGATGGAGGGGGGCAGCCAGGGGGAGGGGCTGCTGGCGATTGGGCAGCTGGCCCCGCCCCCCTGTTGAGGGGACAATTTGCATATTAGCCTTTTATTATATATGATAGCCAAGATATGACAACAGCCCAAGTGCCCAACAATAGATGACTGGTTAGGAAAGCTGTGGTACATTTACTCAACAAAATACTACTTAGCCGTAAAAGAGAAAATCTTACCTTTTGTAACAGCATGGATGCACCTGGAGAGTATTATACTAAGTGAAATAAGCCAGTCAGAGAAAGACAAATACCAGATTATCTCACTTATATGTGGAATCTAATGAACAAAATAAAATGACGAACAAAATAGAAACAGAGGCACGGACACATGTAACAGAGTGATGGCTGCCAGAGAGGAAGGGGTTTGGGGGACTGGATGAAAGAAAGAGAAGGGATTAAGCAAAATATAACACACAGAAACAGACAATAGTGTGGTGATAGCCAAAGGGAAAGGGGCTGGGGCAGGTGGAGGTGGGCAAAGGGGTATGGGAATTGGGACAGAAAGAGAGTTTACTTGGGGCGATGGGCACACAATGCAGTATGCGGATGATGTTTTGTTGAGTTGTACACTTGAAGCCTTGTATGATTTTGTGAACCAACAAATTCAATTGGAAAGGAAAAAAGAGGTACCACTAATGAGGCACCTAGCATGTGCTAGTTGATATTCAATAGATTGTTATTCTCCCAGCCTCTCTGCAAGCCTCTCCTACTCACCCGATCAGGTTCTTGCTCTTAGACAGAATAATAAAACACCTCTATGGCTTGGGCTGTGGTTGAGCCAGGATAGCCCAGTGGCTCAGAGCTGACTTGAGATGAAAATGAATTCATCTTCAGCGTCCACACTTTCCACAGCCCTTAAAATTCTTCTCCTTGACAGAAGTCTAGGCTCTCTCTCTTTCCAGTTTGTTCCCATCAGTCTTTTGAGCAGTGAAACAGCTCCTGGCTCCCACTTCAACAGGAAGAACTGGGGGAAAACCCTCTGAGAAATTTCCTTCTTGACATTTCTCCTGAAGCTCATCCTGTTCCAAGCTGGCTTCATGGAAGCCTCTGACTTGGGGAGATAGTTTTGTGACTTTCAAACTATCTGGTCTGTAAAAAAGGGTGGGAATCTTCAGAATTAAAACAAAAGTCTATCTACAGGCTCCTCTAGAGTGGGAACATTCTTTTGCAGTGGAAGACAGGTTATTTTAAAAATATATTATTTTAAAAATTGAGAACAAATTTACTGCTCTTATTTATAACTATTACGGCTTTTCTAGAATGTGCCATTGAGCAGAAAAGGGTTGGACTGGCTTATGTTGTAGAGAGATGCCCAAGATACATTACTTGTATTTCCTTGATTCTTAATCCGAGCTTTTAGATAGTTATAACTTTATTTACAGATGTTTAATTAATATTCTTTGCTTTGAAACTTACTTCATAATGTTCTATTTCTTCTTTTAACTTCTTAATCACTTCTTCCTGGTCCTTCAGCTTTAGTAACAAAATACTTAGTTTGTCAGTAGTTATGTCATGCATAGAACTTCTCTCTTCTTCTACCTCAAAGAATTGCTGCAGGGGGGAAGGGGAAGAAGCAGCATTAAAAATCAGACATCTAGCGCCACCAGAAACCATTTCATGTTTTATTTAAGTTACTGCCTTGTAAGTTATTTTATTTTTGTAATGTGTACACAATTTTTAGTAAAAATATTTATGTTGATTGATATGCTGAAGTATTGTGGACTATAGCAGAGTATTATTCTGGTCAGGGCATATACACAGATTATGGGTTCAGTCAGGTGTATATGGAAGGCAACCAATCGATTTTTCTCTCTCACATAGATGTGTCTCTCCCTCTCTCTCTCTCTCGCTCTCTCTCTCTCTTCCTCTCTCTCTCCCTCTCCCCCTCTTTCTCCCTAAAAACAATAAGCACATTGGGTGAGGATTTAAAAAAATAAATAAATTGCTCTATGTTATATAATGAATACCAGTAGACTGAGAAGAAGAATATTTTGAGGTGGAATTAAGAGTCCAGCCAGGAACATAACACTGACATAGTCTACACAGCCACTAATAAAAAAAAAATCAGTATATAAATATGCAGTAGACATAAAAAAGTAAAAACAATAATCTATATGGTAATAATTGCATTTTTAATTAGGTGATTTTTTTTGAATCTTCACCTGAGAATATTTTTTTCCATTGCTTTTCAGAGAGAGGAAGGGAGGGGAGGAGGGAGAGACAGAAACCTCTATGTGAGAGAGACACATCAACTGGCTGCCTCCCACACTCGCCCCAACTGGGGATGAGGAGCTAATCTGCAACCCAGGAATCGAACCTGCAACCCTTCTGTGTGTGGACTGATGCTCTAACTACTGAATAATACTGTCCAGAGCTAAATTGCATAACTTTTAAAGAATAGCATTGATTATGTAACCTATTCTTCCCATTTATTCATAGCTATACCTACAAATAAAACACTTTGCAGAGGCTAAGACACATTACTCCACTAGTGCCCTGGGTGCTACAAAAGCATCTCAAATGCAACAAGTCCAAACACAGTTCATCATCTTCACTGTCATCCATTCTGTCTTCCCCCATTAACAGAAGCACAAGCCTGAAACCTCCCCATTGACCCGGCCTTGAGTGTGACAGGGGGCGGTGCCCCAACTCCCCAATCAGCCCTGCTCTGAGCCCAACCAGGGGCTGCACCTAGGGATTGGGCCTGCCCTCTGCCACCTGGGAGCAGGCCTAAGCCAGCAG